TGTGCTCCCGGTAGAAACCTCCTGAACCATGAACACTGAAGGTATTCTAACAGGGAGAAACTGACTGCAGTGATGGCAATGGTGCTGATGACAACAACTCCCATGATCCCACACTACTTCATAAAAAATGACATACTCGGTCACTTAATCTTTTTGTTATTGTTATGTGAGAGACCCCTTAGCAACAGAATTTACATATTGTGAGTTGAAATGTCGTCGTACGACTCTGGTGATTCATTTTTAATCCAGCACCATAATCAGGTCAACATTTTATTTTCTCTAATGTGATACCTGCACAACTAATAACATTCCCACTAGCTTAACTGTACTTTGTGTTTAGTGCTAATTAGCAAATGTTAGCATGCTAACTCTCTAAACTATGACAATGAACATGGTTAACATTCTATGTGCTACTTATCAGCACGTTAGCATTGTCATTAAGAGAATGTTGACATTAGCATTTAGCTCAAAGCACTACTGTTTCTAAGTAAAGCCCCTCAGAGCTGTTTTTTTTTGTCTTTGTCTTGTTAATAGTTTTTGGGACAACAGTGTACCTTTGTTACAGCAACCATTTTGACATGAAATAGTAGGGTAAACACAGGTGTTAACAATGATACTGATTAAGGTTCCGGTTCATCCAGGTCAAGCAGAGTCAGGGTGCTGCTATTGTGCATGGTGGCTCTACTACACTAATTTGAACGAAACCATAATTAGGAAAAAAGTCCATGGAGATATTACAATTATTATTAGTCTCTTTATGGGAGTTGACAATAATAAAACTACAGAATATCACCAGACATTTATCTTTCACAGTAAGTAAAATCAAATCTGATTCTGTGGCTGGAAGTTTATTCGACACAATGTGAATTCTGTTTTTTGCGTAATTCCCATCCCTAAAGCTAAAGCAAACAGGAACACATTTGGTTTGGCCACAGGCTGCCTCCATACAACATGAGGTGATTCAGAGAAGCAAACCTGGGTCACATTAAACTCAAAGTTAATGCTTGCTCCTTCACATTCCCTCCTCGTCCCATTTGTTTGTCCAGATCCATCTGGTCTCTCGTCAGGAACTGAACCACAAAATGCAAGTATGCGTCATACTGCTGTTGAGTAACAGATTTGGACACAACAAGCTCTTCGAATTAAGGGAAAAGAATTGAAAAAGCAAGCAATGGGCTAGCAGTGGCGGTGCCCTAGCCCTAGTTCCATACTTTGACTGTACATCCCTCCTTCCACACCTTTGTTGATATAGGCATACATTTTATTTTACTTCCACGCCGTCATTATGTTTTCAGTGCCACTGTCAGCAGGATTACAGAAAAACTAATGGCCCGGTTTTCATGAAACTTGATGGAAGGGTCTAGCATAAATCACAGGACAGATATACAAATTATTTTACACTTTGGTTAACATAGATTGGTTGTAACATACATAGAGCTTGCAGATATGCATTTCATAGCAGACTGAACTATTGGCCTTGACTGAGTGCCCCTCTAGCTACATCTTATACTGATGTTGTAAAGTGATGGAGAGAAGGATGTGTCTTCCAAAGTACCTTAACAAAGCCCATGTAACTTCTGGTGTCTGTGCAGCAGCGCTGACTTGGGCCTCTCTGTATCTACGCCTACGGGTGATGAAGCAACGTGGGGAGGAAGGCAGCTTGAAATGGAAGGAGGGAACGGAGCAAGGGAGGTAAAGGACAAGCAACTGAGAAGACGGATGAAGACAATCAAATGAAGAGACAGCACAACCACACACATGCAAGCAGGCACACACACTCAAACGCAGGCACTCGCACACTAACAGAGGAACACACAGAAGTCAAACTACAGTTCTCGGATATGTCAGCAAATGCACACACATAGACACACTTGCAAACAGACACGCACAGAACTGACATACAAAGAAATCAAGAGAAAACATGAGTGGTGGATGCTATTCTAGTAAGGAAATGGGAGGATGACAAAAAGGGATGAGGTAAAAGACAAAAAAAGACAAAAAATGAAGAGAAACCTACTAAAGAAATCTTATCAGTATGCTACACAAGAGCCTGTATTTAGATCTGGTCAAATCTAAATACGTCTACAAAAGAACAACTCTACTTATGAAGAACAATAAGACACATTTCACAGAATATTTCTGCAAACAGGGAACCTGTAATATCTCATAAATCAAGAAGAAAGAGGAGAGAACTGTGGATGGGAGGGGGGGGGGTAGAGCGGACAGAGAGAAAAAACAGGAGTTTTTGGAGACATCAGAGGGGCCAAACTTGTGACGTCGGAGCTGGAAATACTGTTACAGAAATAACCAGTTGACAACAATTGCAGCACCGCACAAAAGTGAGAGGAGCACAGGAAGGAGAAAGAAAGCAAGAGCAATAGAGGAAGAGGGAACTTTTTTTCTTTAACTGTAGTCTTGGAAACAGCAGTGTGTTATAGGGCTTTTATACTCGAAGGTTTACAGTTTAGAGAATTGCAGATGAAAGCCATTTGGAAATGAGAGTGAATTCTGTGAAATCTAACCCTAGCATTTTCTACAGTATGGTAGGAGCATTGTTACAGCAACGCTATATTCTCTCGCATTATAGAGAAAAGAAATTACACCACTCCTTTACTTGAGAGATGTTCACAGCCGGGGGTCAACCACAGTAACCACGCTTGACCTCATTCACAGACAGGAAGTAACACATGGTGCAGGAGGCGCTGCCGTTCGCTCTCTGTACTTTAGGATGCGTCCTTGTCGGAGTAAATTAGACTGTTAATTACTTAAATTTCTTTTTAAACACGAGTCACTTTGTGTCTTTACAAACAACGCTGCTCCATTTCTGTCAGGACACCTCAGACAGAGAGAGGACAGCGAGGCGCCTCCTGCACCAACCGACACTCAACAACAAAACAAACTCTGGACTGGCGCCGGGACTGGATTTGGTCCAGACCAGGATCAGACCAGAACAATACAGCCGGTCAGGACTGGGTGCTGTTTGAAAAGGGAGAATAAGAGAAGAAAAGAATAGAGGAGACATTGCACACACACGAGCAGCGAGCGAGCCGGAGGGGACACAACCATAGAGTAAAAATACTGCAGTCCACGTGCCGTGCAGCAGTGTGTGTGTTTGTGTCTACGAATGAGTGTGTGAGAGAGAGAGAAAG